AGCATGTCTTTCTTCCTGCATAAAATATGTAAATACCAAGTTTAAAAACAATATCACAAAATGGCAATCAGTACCTATAACTGTAATATAATACCATCTACATGGTCCACAAAGGCAAAAAATGGTGGCATGCAACATACACCCCTATGTGGATTATAAGTATTTTGCTTCTCAGAGACAGGAAAAAAGAAGAGGTAATACACATAATAGAAAAAAAAGCTTAAACATACAAAAGCACATTCACACAACATACATTCTTTTTTCAGAGAAATATGAAGGATGTTCCTTCACAAATTTACACCAAAACAACAATTCCATGTACTAAATAATCAAATAAGACATTTCTTATACAATTTAATCAAATAATCAAATTAAAAAATATTTTTCTTCCTTGCTTAATCCATCTTCCATTTTTTTTTTAAAAATATAATTTGTATATTTCTATTACAAATTTCAAAAAATCTATCATTCATCGTTATGTAATTATTAACAATAAATTAATAAAAAATATTCACATCAAATAAAACATAAAACAAAAGAAAATCAATACAAAAAAAAAACAAATAACAAAAAAAAAAAAAAAACAATACAATAAACAAAATAAACATAATAAACAAATAAAACACATAAAAAAACACAAAAAAAAAAAACAAAAATATACATACAACAACAAATAATAAACAATAAAAAAAAAAAAAAAAAAAAAAACACATACACAAACATACAAAAAAAAAAAAAAAAAAAAAAAAAAAAAAAAAAAAAAAAACAAAAAAAAAAAAAAAAAAAAAAAAAACAACTACAAAACAAACAAAATCAAATTGCAAACCCATGCTCTCCAATATATCCTCTCCCTCCCCTCCCTCTCTCACCTCAAACTTCCCTCTCTCCCTCGCTCCCCTCTCTCCCTCTCTCTCTTCCTCTCTCCCTCTCTCCCTCTCTCTCTCCCTCCCCTCCCCCCAAAGCCGCATGGGGACTCTTAATTGAAGTCGTAAATTGAAAGCCCGGTCTCTGTTTTGTGAATGAAAGAAATGTTTGATCAGTTGTGTGTTGCAGAACAGTAAAACAATGAATTCGTATTGTACCGCAAGGAGTCTACCAGCATAAATTCCTGTTGACCAGTAAATAATTAGCTGTTGTGTATGCTCTTGATACAATATTGATTGTCTTTGTAAGTGTATGTTGTGATATGGGAAAATTGTGCTGTGCGTGTTCGTGTGTATTTAGGTTAACATAGAAACACAACCAACCACACACACACACACACACACAACAATTCACCACACACACAAACACACCACACACACACACACTACACACACACACACACACACACACACACACACACACACACACACACACACACAACACCAACCACACACACACGCACTTTCTTTCCGGGATTGTCCCGCAGTAAATATGAAGTAATATATATGCAAGTCTCCTGCCTCTCGCAACGCTCCCCCCCCTCCGTCTCCAAATCCCCAACAACTCCACCGTCACTCCACTTTCTCCCCAAAAAGTCCGTTTGCCCCCCCGCGCCCCATCCTCCTCCTTCTCCTCTCTTCTTTCTCCTGGCTCCTTCTAGATTATTACTTCTTCCTCTTTTCTTCTCTTCTTCTCCTAGCCTATCTCCTTTTTCTCCTTCTCCTTTCCTTCTCCTCCTCCTCCTCCTCTCCTCCTCTCTCCTCCGTCTCGCCTCCTCTCCTCCTCCTCCTCCTCCTTCCTCCTCCTCTCTCCTCCTCCTCCTCCTTCCTCCGCCACCACCACTCTGCTCCTTCCTTCCTCCTTCCTCCTCCTCCTCCTCTTCCTCACCACCACCTCCTTCGCCACCATCCCTCCCACCACCACCTCCTACTCCTCCTCTCCTCCTCCTTCCATCCTCTTCACCACCTCCGCTCCTCCTCCACCACCTCCTCCTCCATCACCTCCTTCTCTCTTCCTCCTCCTTCTCCCCTTCCTCCTCCTTCCACTCTCTCTTCCTCCTCCTTCCTCCTCCACCCTCTCCTCCTCCTCTCCTCCTCCTCCGTCAGCCGCAGCGGGACTTCAAAGACGAGGCCGTGGCGCAGGGCGGGGGGGGGGTATCATCATACCCCTCCGCGCAATACAAAGCAACAAAACTTAATTGTTATTCGTATCTGCGATTATCATCATCATCCGTTTTTATTCTGCTTGTCTTTCATCGGCATCGTTGTTGTGGCATCTTTATTTATCAAAAAATATTTAAAGAATGCAAATAAATGACATCATTATTGGACAAAAATAGAAAAAACGGGAGACGATGATTTGGTGTTTGATGGAGTTGGCGCGGGAGGCGATGGCGGCGTGAGGGAAGTTTCTTCTTTGAAATTAGGGTAAAAATGATGGGTGCTGGTGCTTGTTTGTCTGTTGTGTATATATGTGTGATTGAGAGAGAGAGAGAAAAAAAGAAGAGAGAGAGAGAGAGAGAGGAGAGAGAGAGGAGAGAGAGGAGAGAGAGAAGAAGAGAGAGAGAGAGAGGAGGAGAAGAGAGACAAAGGAAGTAAGAGGAGAAAGGAGAGAGAGAGGAAGAAAGAAAGGAAAGAGAGAAGAGAGGAAGAAAGGAAAGAGAGAGACAGAGAAGGAGAGAGAGAGAGAGAGAGGAAAAGAAAGGAAAGAGAGAGAAGAGAGAGAAAGAGGAAAGAAGAGAGAGAGAGAGAAGAAAGAAAGAGAGAGAGAGAGAAGAAAGGGAAAGAGAGAGAGAGAAAGGAAGAAAGGGAAGAGAAAAAGGAAGCTAGATAGAGAGAGAGAGGGAGAAGAGAGAGAAAGGTTAAAAAGAGGAGAGCGAGAGAAAAGAAGAAAGAGAGAGAGAGAGAGACCGAAAGCTCGAGAAACCGAGTGAAAGATTATTTTTTTCCCCCCCAAGAGAAATCTCTCTATATTCCCCCGCCGCCCTTGCACCGCGACGCAAATAAGACCCCCCCCCCGTCAGATTTTTCTCCCTTGCCTAACCTCTCGCGCCCTCTGCGAGATCCCGAGGTTAAAAGTTTGCGCCACCGAGAAGAGTCATGGGTCTGTTAATTAATCCTCTATCTGCGTCTTCGGGGAAAAGGTGGTTGTTTGTCAGCTTTTTCCCGCGAAAGTGACGTCGTTTGGCCCGTTGCGGAATCGTTGTTGGCGCGTGCAGGGGTTGGGACAGTTTGGCGGGAAATTCAAGGGTTACCTTGTTGTTTTGGGTGGGAGGGATGGGTGGGAGGGGGAGGGAGGGAGGAGGGAAGGAGGAGAGGGAGAGGAGGAGGGAGGGAGAGAGGGAGGAGGGAGAGAGAGGAGAGAGGAGGAGAGGAGGAGGAGGGAGGAGAGAGGGAGAGGGAGAGAGAGAGGAGGGAGGGAGAGAGGGAGGGAAGGGAGGGAGGGAGGGAGGGAGAGAGAATGAGAGAGAAGAGAGGGAGAGGTGCGTCAAGCTTTCACAAGGCTTTCCATCCCAATATTCGTATCTCATAAATACCAGAGTCGAAATAGCCTTTGTTTTAACGGCGAAACCTTAATCGATCCTCGAGACTTCATGAAATGAGCTGTTGCGTCCTCCTCCTCCTTCTTCCTCCTTCCTCCTCCTCTCTCTCTCTCCTCCTCCATCCCTCTCTCCTCCTCCTCCTCTCCTCCCTCCTCCCCCCCTCCTTCCTCTCCTCCTCCTCCTCTCTCCTCTCTCTTCTCCTCCTTCCCTCCCCCTCCTCTCCTCCTCCTTCCTCTTCTTCCTCTCCTCCTCCTCCCCTCCTTCTTCTCCCTCCTCCACTTCCCCCCTCCTCCTCTTCTTTCCTCCTCCTCTCTCTCCTCCTCCTTTCTCCTCCTCCTCCTCCTCCTCCTCTCCTCCTCCTCCTCTCCCGCACCTGCCTCAGGAGAAACACCGGTCTGGCAAGCTCCTCGTTGCACCCTTTGAACCTGGAGAGAGAGGAAGGAAGAGAGTGAAAAAAGGAAAAAAGGAAAAAAAACGAGGGAGGAGGAGGAGGAGGAGGAGGAAGAGGAGAGAGGAGGAGAATGAGGGAAGGAAGAGGAGGAGGATGAGGAGAAGGAAGGAGGAGGGAAGAGGAGAAGGAGGAGAGATGGAGAGGAGGAGAGGAGAGCGCGCTCAACTCTCTCGTCAAAGTCAAAAGGACATTGAGAAACATCACGGGAAAGGAGGGGGGATGCGAGGGGTGGGGGGGGAGCGGGGGTGGGATTCGAGGGGGGAAGGGGGAAGGGTTAGAGAGTGGAAGGGAGGCAGGGGAGAGAGGTTGGGAAGCGGAGGTGGGGTGAAGGGGAGGAAGGAGGCAAGGGTTAGAGTGGAGGGGTGAAACCCGGAGAAGGTAAGAGGTGGGAAGGGAGAGAGGTGAGAGGAGGGGGGGGTATCCGAAGGGAGTTAGAGGGTGGGTAGGTGACGAGTGAATGTTAGAGGGGGGGAGGAGAGGATGAAAAGTAGAGGTAAGAAGTAATGGAAGAGAATGGAAGAGCGGTGAGAACCGTCAGCACAGCCCCACATGATCAGAAGTTTTGTATCGATATTTTTAATGTATTACTATGATTTTTAGAATTTTTAATTCTTTTTATTTATATTATTAATTTATTTATTTATATATTATTATATTTTTTTTTTTTTTTTTTTGATTAATTATGGATTTTTTCTACGTGATTAATAAATTTTTATTTAATTTTTCCGTTTTTCAATTTTCATTTTCTCTACTATATTATTATTATATATTTCTTCTATATTTCTAATACTCTATATTTTCTTTTTTTTATTTATTTTTGATTTTCATTAATTAAAATTTATTTTCTTCTTGTCAATCAAAATAAATATTCATAAACATTTATTACATTCCACATATGAGGATTAAGAAAGAATCATCAACAAATCATAAACGATATAAATATAAAAGAAAAAATAAAGATGACATAAAATATAAAAAAAAAATAAAACGTAATTATAATTCGTATCAAAACAATATAATAATAAAAAAAAATATAAAATAAAAATTAAATGAAAAATATGTTTAAAAATCAATAAACAAATAAAAAATATCTACAATACATGTGTAACATGGTACCCTAAGAGCCAGATTTATCTCACTGATGCCAGGTAGATGCACTGTACACAAAGGAATCAATTACTAAGTCGGCTTGATCTCAGCTGTCTATCCCATGCTATGATTTTTTGGAAAATACAGTTTTTATTTCTATTACAAATTTCACTGTTATGCACTCTATCGTATCATAGTTATTGTAATGCTATTAACAATGATAGTAAGTTTTCTTCCCCACAAGGCAATGCCTTGGAGTTATCTGTTTAAAGAAAATCAGTAAAATAAAACCAGGTGGCCAGTGCATATGTGCAAACACTTCTGGCATCAATGGTTTAAACTAGATCCATAACATTTGTTCGTTTATGTTTTACAATATTTCAACCAGTTGCGGTTGAGTACGACACCATTTCCAAAGTAACTATACAAGTGCAAGGTTTGTATTTTGACCTGCCAATACTGTTTTTAATTAGAGCTTTAGAAATAAATTTACAAGAAATGTAAAACATTTTTGTGCCATCTAATCATTTGCATTGAAGTAAAAATAGGGCAATCTGTCTGTCACATAATAAGCACTCATTAGAACTAGACTGTAATCTTGCAATCTCCAAATATAAATGAGACCAGGCTACTGCAAATCAAGTAATTCTAGACGAACGCGAGCCTACAGTTCCGACATCAAATAAGAGTCTTATTTTTGTCACTAATACTACTTCCTTCTACAAAATACCATTTGACCCCAATATAAAGAGGTGTATGCCAATTAGCATTATTTGTCTAGAAGTAAAAAAGCATGAACATGCACCATAAATTTAATTTTTTTTCCAATGCTGAGAATTAGTGCAAATACACAAAAATCAGAAACACACTGAACACATGACAGGTGGTCAAGATACATAATTTATCGAAGGATAGCTATATAGATCATTCTTTCTAAAACTACTGAATACAAAAAAAAGCCAGGAAAGTGACACCAAGAAAAACAGGGAGATAAAGACTATATATATCACAACAATATAATATACAGCAAGAAATCAAGGTATGGTTGGGCAGCGTAATTGAAAATACTTAATAGAAAAAAAAAGTAAAAATCTGGAACAAAGTTGCTTTATGACGGCAACTAGAGACTGAAAATTTATCAGTATGTCTACTATAAATTCAAATACGACACATGTCAACATTAAGTATAGTTTGATCCATAACAACAGACGATATTTGTTCCATAAATACTGCTTTGGTAGCATTACAAATAAATTATAGAAAGACAATATAATATATCAAAGATGTGTTTAACAGCACAAAGTTCATTTCATCTACTAATATAGTGTTCACCATGAGAAGTGTGATACCCTAAATTACAAGCTTCCCTTCCAAATAGTTCCCCCTTCAGTATTACATACAACCTTCGAAGTATAAGGATCAATAGATAAACCAGGAGTATTTGCCAAGTTGTTTACATGACAGTCTTTTAGATGAGTCTGGGATGAAGTGCCATTATCATTTCCAAATGTTGACATGCTGAAATTGGTTGAGTGCAGGCTACCAGTTACATATCCTGTATCCTGTGATGGCACTTCCCCACTCACATTCACCTGCAATGGAGAAACAATAATAAATATTTCTTGTTCAGTCTCTATAGAGAAATATGTGAACATTAAAATTATTCATATATGTGATCTACATACAACTTGGGTAGGCCCTACATGAATTAGAAAACACATTTCAAAATTTTGTATTGTCTTTACCTTCTAATTATATCAGAAAAATAAAAATACTATGCAGACTAGCCAGTTATTAAATTTTTGATGGATTTCCTTGACTAAAAAAAAAAAAAAAAAAAGAAAAACAAAAACTTACCTCAAGAGAGTCAGTTTCCATGTCACACACTGATGAGGACCTACGGAGGGTGGTGGTGGTAGTGGTACGGGGCTGCTGCAGGGACTGGCCAACATATCTTGTGCTCGAAGTTAGGCCTATTCTTTCATCATCCATCATTATCTCTTCTTCTATGCAGCTTTTACCTGGCATTGGTTTAACATGTTACACTAATAGTAAACAGTTCTACTAATTAAGGATCTGAGTAAACACTTCTACAGTTGAAGGAGTGATGCAAAACTGGCAGGAGAAAGGGTTACCCACTGATGCTAAGGAAGGTTTTCAAATGATTACAAATAAATTAAGCCCTTACTACTTTACAAAAACAATGTGCTGATGGTACTTAAGGCACCTTAAGAATCAATCTGTAAACAATGAACAGAAACTTACCATCTACATCAATGCTCATATGAGGTGACTGTGACAAGCTGAATTGAGATTTGGGTTGAGACCTCAATTGATTATCTTGATGTGGCAAGAACATGAGGGACCTACAGAGGATAGGTGAGAGTGGAGGTGAGGAAGAAAATCTCTTTCTTGGTGTGTCCATTGCGAGAGGACTATTGCCATCTTCCCGGATAGGACTAGAAGAAAAGTGACCCTGGAAGAACAAACAGTGGATTAGTTATTATTTCAAGGAACTTATGCAGTTATTCTAAATTTTGAAATCTATATTTATTTAATTTGTGAATCTTTTCTCCTTATGTAAATTGTGAAGTAAACTAACCGAGTTGCTCCTTTGCTCAACAGCTGTCTTTACAGGTGTTTTCTTCTGATTTTCATCTGATTCCGGCATTAAATTCTCCTGCTTTTCTTCAGACTCTTGCTTCCATATATGATCTTGTCCTGGTGCTTCACAGTTTATCTCAGATGAAATATCACTACATGGAATATTGTTTAAGATCCTGCATGGTGAAGGTATTTTCTTAATCTTTGGTGTAGTTCTCAAACAGTCACCACAGTTCTCCTTGTCAGCTCGTCTTTCAATAGCACCACCATGACTAGTTTCACTGCATAAATCTGAGCCGGTAACACATTCATGTACATTCTCACAGTTTTTGTCTTTACTACATGAATCCTGACACTTTACAGAAAACTCTAAACTTTGTTGTAATCTCATCGTAAAGTATGAACTCTGTAAACGACCTGAACTTGGTGAAGCTGGCAACATCTCCTCATTGCGTAAAACTGAATCGGAGTATAATGTTGTGTGGAAGGGTAAACTACAGGATGGACTGTCCTTGGCACTTGTTTCTGTACATGACACAGCATGGTCCTGACTGGAAGAAACTCTGAAAGATGATAGGGGTTGTCCTAGAAATGGATCATGAAAGGAAGTATCTTCACTGATGTGAGATGATGCAGAGATGAACACATCTTTGGGACTTGGAATAGTAATGTACTGGTGGCAGTGAATGGGCGACACATCTGGCGAGGTGACAAGCACTGGTCCCTCGTTGTTCTGGTGAGCTTGAACAGGAGACAGATTTGGTGAACACTGTATCATGGGAATATCTCCGTGATCCTTGCCTGGCCTCCTAAAAGCAAAGGGCTCACTGAAGGGTTTGTCACTTGGCAAGTATGACATGCGGGACGGCGGTGTTGGTGGAGGATGCCTGGCCAACTGTGGATCCTTGCTGGAGGCTCCTATTTCCCCACGACTGATGATGGTTCCACACCACAACAGATTCCTGTGATCTTCCTCTTCATTTACAATGGGTACTTCATCCTCATCGTCTAAGGGTAAAGGGGCAGAGGGGGAAGGTGGTCTGCTGTCAGGGTCTGGGGTGTCTGCACCACGAGGACTGCACATCCTTTGGGGAGAAACGATGAGAATTAAGATAAGGGCAGATATATAGGTATATTTGTACTGACATTGGCAAAAATAATGAGGGCAATGTAATAAAAAGAGAAACTGGAAAAAAAAATTAAAGTTTATGCTGCATCATTCAGATAATCAACATAACATCAAAATTTTAAGGCATCCATAATAAAAGACAAGAAAAAATGAAAAGCATAGATGTGTGTATGTGTGCATGAGTGTGTGCATGTCTGTATTTATATATGTATGTATTTATTTGTACACATGAAGTGCAACAGAATCACATACGGTGTAGCATTGAGCAATTCATCCTGGCTAAAGAGCAGCTTCCGGCGCAGTGTCGTGTTGTTGAGGCTTGTCCCTTCATCTTCACAGCCCCCCTGCCAAAACTGGTCCTGAAATGTTATCAGGTAATATCTTTACTGAAACTTTAATCAACTTGTGTCTGCAAAAACACTGACATAAGTTAACCATAGCAAATTTGACAGCTGAGATGTGAACAAATACTACAATTAACCATAATTAACTAATAGTTTCATTTACATTCCTTTGAATTTCAGAAACCTCTTCTTCTAGGTAAAAGACAGCCCATGAACAAACCTGTGTAAATGTACAGAAGGGTTTTAATGCTTCCTCAACAGCTTCTGGTAAGACAGGAGGAATTGACAGCTCTGTTTGGCACCAAACTGTAAAGTCAAATAAATATTTTCACCCCCATTCATACTCATTATTCCAATGAGTATGAAATTCAATATTACTAAATGTTTCGAAGTAAAATGGCTATGTCTGGAAACTCAAAAATTCCAACACCCACACTTGATGATAAACGTACCTGTATTAGTTCGAGGTGTTGGTTGACTAGATACTGGGTGGACTGGGGTGCATACCATCTGCAGAAGGTTAACTGACTTTTGGCTTCCAGTCCAAGGACTTGGGACAACAGAGTGATGGTTAAAAAACCTGCAAGAAAAGGAGGTGTTATGCCCCTTTTCCTTAAACAAAGGAAGTGGTACAGTAACAGGACCATAAACCCAATATACAACAATGTCTCACAAGTACTCAAGTAACTTCTGTATACATTTTTACACACACAGACACACACACACATATATACACATGTGCACATATTCATCATGTAGACACATGCATGTACATACAAAATTTTTTAATACAAGTAGTCTGAGACAAGTAGTGGCCACACTTATGCAATGGTCAAGTTGCACCTGTTAGGAGCATTAGACATATCTTTTTGCAACAAGCAGCAATTAAAAGAAAAACTAATGTAGCAGTTTTTACAGTAATTATATTTAAAATTAGAATTGTTTAATAAATAAAAAAAATTAAAAAATATATATTTTTTAGTTTCAGTAACAATAGCTCTCACATTTTATCAAGTTTAAATTTTGATTGTAATGGGAAGCTTCAGATATTTTCATTGTATGTGTGTGAGAGGGGAGGTCTAAATATCTGAAAATCTGAGAAGAAATTCAACTGTATAGTTTATTAGTATTCTTTAGGAGGGATGGAAATGTAAAACAATGAAGAGATGGCTGTTTTCTTATTAGAAGAATATCAAAATATAATCTGTAATGTCAAAATTCACAAAAATCTTAAAAGTAAATAATTTTTTCTCTTTCTTTTAGCAGTTTGTTGAAGGAGGGGGGATCTAACAAATCAAAGATTTCCCCTTATCATGAAAGTAAATCACCCTAAAAAATGAAAAATGATGAAGATAAAGGCTAGACACTAACCTGTCAATGGCATCTTGTGCCTGTCGCTCGTAATCTGGGTCATGCTGAATGTCCGCTTGGTTGTAGGGCGAGGTTTCAATATTAGCAGGATGTAGTACCGCCAGCTGATCTATAGACCAATGGAAGTTGCTGTCTACCTTCTGACTAGGGGATACAACTTGGCGAAAGAGTGATGGGCTTACGGCAGGCAGATGGAGACACTCGGCTGCCACCTCAAAGGGGTTGACCTGATGGTTAGGTTTACGATGCTGTGGTGTCATGGCTCCTCGGCAGTCCCCCGTTCTGTTGACGAAAGGGCTAAATTTTAAGTACAAGTACTAACATGTTAAGAAATAAAGGTAAAAATGCCAATAACAGAAGGGTATATAAAAATTGCTGGTATTATCATTAAAACATGATCTTTAAGGTAAGACTATGGATACATATACAATTGGGCTTACATTTAATAGGTTTTAAACTCTAGGTCCAAAAATATCTAGCTGTAAATACAAACTGATTCAAGTACTCAAGTTTTGAAGATCTAATGCCCAAATTTTCTCTGTCTTAGTCCAGTCTCTGTCATGAAATCAAGACCTACAACCTATTTTGGT